GCTCTCTGCAAGGACAGCAGCAGGACCAGCCATCCTTCCAGATCGCTATTTAGAAACTGAATCTAAGCTTCTCCCATGCCAAGTGTGGACCAAGAATCTTCCCTGTTCCTCAGCTTCTCCTTTAACAAAATAGCAGCATTAGTATCACCAAAACAGCATCCATAACAGTCCCCTAACCCTCTTCACATGGGGGCTTGTAAGGTTTTTTCCCTTTGAAACACTCAGAATTTTCTTGAGTCAGGGCTCAGTCTGGAAACAGGTGTGTTTTATCAAAAACAGAAGGCAGCTGGGGATTTTCAAACCATGGAAGTAAAAAATCAAGGCCTAAACCCCAAACTTTCCCTAGTACATACTCTGCCAGAGCAAACCTCACCTAAACAGACACTGCCTCTCACAGCTGCCCAGAAAACCTCCAGGCACCCCAGCACTCTTGGCAGGTGTTACAGTGGGATTCCCTCTTGACCCAGCTCTTCACTACTTTGCCTTCTTGGCTTGCTGAAGTGCCAGGAGCTCCCTCCAGTCTAAGCCATGGATTGAGGATGCAGGCCAGCATTTTCACATTCAGGCTAAGCACTCATGGATTCATGTATTCTGCCAGGATTGAGTGTCTGGAGGAACAAAGCCAGTGCACATCTCAGCTCCACACCTCTCCTTCTGATGGCAGTGGGCACAGGCCTGCTGCTGGTTGCTGCTCTCTGGGAGCGGGGTACACCAGGCTCTTCCTGGCTCCAATCCACAGTGACCCACATCCATCCTCCCCTGTACCCCCGAGCTGATGACACAGTGCTGCCATGATGCTTCCATCTACTCAACTCCTCTACAAGAAGCAAGCAGGGCCACTCTCCTGGAAATGAGCAACAAACCGAGGTTTCCCTCTCCAGTGGCCCACCCTAAAATTGAGAGCTAGGACCTGAAAATGGGGGATGCAGCTGGAATACCAGCTCTGCTAGACCAAACACCTCAAGCATGGGCTCTGCCAAGCTAATCACCCTTAGACGCAGATGGATCAACCTCCACACCACCTCCTCCCCCCTGCTGAGGATGAAGATGGGACCAGACAGGCATGATACTGCACAGGGTGACAGACACCCTGTGACTGTCAAACCAGCTTGTCTGCTGCCACTTCAGATAACACAAGTGCTGTCAAGCTGGGGGCGGGGGGAGGCAAAGCTGAGATCACAGACCCCATCCCAGGTGTTGCTATGCCCAGGCTGTCCTGCCATCAGCACTCAGTTCTCAGGCTGGGCCCCTGGCTACCTTCTCATCAGCACCAGACCAGCACCTGCTGCTGGGAAGCATCATCCTGCTTGCACTTGCACAGCACCAGACCTGTGCTGACCCTAGGCTGCCTTCCTGAGGAATGTTCTATCCATCCATCTTCAGCTGCTCCAGTTATAACAATCACGGACTAAACGAACTCAACAAACATCTTGGGGGGATGATCAGGGACTAGTGAAATAATAGCCGAGCTTGTGCAGTATATGTGTGTATACCTATGTATATAGTTGAAAGGTGTAAATCTGGGCATGGCATAAGTAGTATAGAATAAGGGATGGACAATGTTATGGTTACAAAGGGAGTGGAGCTTTAGTGTTGAATATTTGATACCACCCATGTCACTACTGGGGTAGGGTTTTGGCAGGGGGAAAAAAAACAGTAAGGCAGCCACCAGAACCTGGAAATCAACATTTTTGCATTGCCCTCTCTGGGAAGGAGCAGGGTCAGCCACCCTGCATACTCAGTCCCCACTGCCACCACCATGGTCAGCATTTTGGTAGTAAAATCCCCAGTTCGAATGAACCAGCTCTCCACGTTTTGTCCCCATTTGGTTTTCTGTTGCTCCCAGGCAGGAGAAGGGGATGAAGTTTGAGCCAGGAGAGCCTCTTTGCCATCCTGCCTTTGTTCCTGGGTGGCCATGTGGTGTTGCAGTGTGAGAACAGTCGCCACCTTGTTCTACAGGGGTCAGGCAACATCTTGCCTTTGTTGGTTCCCTCTTCTGCATTATCTCTTACTATTGTTGTTGTGTATATTGCAATTTCTTCAGTAAATTGCGACTCCAACTTAAAATCTCTCCTAGTATTCTTTCCTCCACTGTCAAAAGGGGGCAATTTGAGTGGGCTTGGTTTTTCCACTGAGTTTTAAAACTGGCACACCACGTTAGAAAAGCCCATCCTGGGGAGCTGCTTTATGTGCCTGGATGCCTGGAAAGGGTTACCCACAATTGCACCAGGAGTGGGGGACAGACTTCCACTCACAATAGGTGGGTCCTAGAGACTCTGACCCTCTCACTCTGCCCCATCCCATGGAATCTTTGCCAGCACCAGCAGAAGACAGCAGGAGAGAGGCCAGTTTGCCAAGGGGTCAGGGATAAGGTAAGCTCTGTAGTTGGTGCCCAGTTCCTTGGCTGGCTCCTGGGGACCCACCTGGGCAGAGGGGTTATTCATCACTGCATTTGCCTCTTGAAAGGTCTCCTTTAAGATCACATGCCTGGTCAATAACCATGAGAACCTGAAAGATCAGTTTTAGGTCATCGAGGACTTGCTGCCCCTTGGCATATACACATAGACATCCCTACACAGGAAGTGTGGGTGCAGCTATGATTCCTCCATGGAGACATGAATTCAACAAGAAAAAGGAAAAAGGTTCACCCACATATAGGGAAACTGAGTCAGGCCACTGGTGAGACATCCTCACAGGACCCACACAGGAGGGCAAGGCTGCTCCGCACACAGCCTGTGAGACGAAGAGCAGGGATGATCACACCATGTATCCCTGAACTGCACAGAATATCTCAAAAGCTGGAAGGGGCCCATAAGTACCAGAGTCCAACTCCCTCCTTCTGTCAGGACTAGCAGTTTAAAAACTAATCACAATTCAGAAAAGATTAAACTCATTTACAATGTGATAGTTAAATGATTTGCCTCAAGCTGATATTGCTGTTAATTTTTTAGCTGTTGGCATTAACAACTCATGGAACACCAGTCTTCCATTTCTGTTCAGTTGTGTTGCTCAGTGTCACTCAGCGGAGACAACGAAAGCAGTGCGCCCCGTGCTTCTGCCTTCTGATTCTCTTCCCTTAACACGAGACTGTTCACTCCTCTTTGTGGACACTGTGGGTCGGCCACTGGGGATTCCACCCCTCCTGACAGGAGTCATGTCACTCCACTCCTGCTCTAAGCTCGAGAACAGCCTTCCCACCATGCACAGCTACGCCCAAGCCCTGCTCAGTGGCAGGGTTACGAGGCTCACCTGACTCAGGTAATGGCCTGCGTCCTCCTGCCAGGGACTGGCAGTGTGTGGCTGCATCTCCTGCAGTCCTGATCGCTCGCAGGGGCGGGCTCACTGCCCAGCAGGCCCCCAGGTCTTCCCCACCCCCGAGAAGCTCTGAGCAGAAATGGAGCTGAGCCAAAGCCCAGGCCTGGAAAGTGAGATGTACACCTTCCTGAGCTGGCTGGCAAGAAAAAGATTCTTTGAGATTAAGCAGGACATTGCTGCTTTTGCCATCTTCACACGTGAGTGCAGAGCTCAGCACAAGGCATGTGCCAGATGACTTCCCTCAGAGCTGGGCGGGGCAGGCAGCTGCTCTGATCCCAGCAACTCAAGCAGTCCCCAGCAGTCCTCCCTGCGCTGCCCCTGTGCATCAGAGCTGGAATCAGGACTGGCATTCCATTCTGCACACTCCTGCCTTCCAGAACTGAGGAAGACTATCCTCACCAGAAGAAAACAACACGCATTTGGTTGCATATTCTACCTCTACCAGCAGGAAGCTGAGTTGGAGAGGATGTGACAATATTGACTGAACTGCACGCAGTAGGTGTGAATTAAAAAAGGAGCTCACTCCGCACACAAGGAGGGCTAAAGAAGAGCACAGACAGTTAATAACCAGAGAGCTTATTAACTATAAAAATATTCTCTTCTGAGAAGCTCTTAATGATGAGCAGTCCACACATACACAATGACTTTCTAAGCAGAAAATGGTCTGGATCAGAGCAAGGGTTGGTAGATGCACACCCAGGGTCATGACCACAACTAGTCATAAGGCTGACTGGAATCAGAAACGAGTCTGCTACTGCATCAGCCTATCCAGGCCTCTCTACCTTCCACATTTATTCACACACATTCCTCAGTCACAGCCCAATGCTTATGTGCAGGCTGTTATGGCCTGCAACCTGTGACATCAGCATGCGTTAGGCCAAGCACAGCACTGAGTGTTGAGTCCCCAGATAAGGAGACTGCAGCACTACAAGGCTGGCACTAACCCACACAGCATCCCAGGGATCTCATGAAGGGGCAGGAAGGAAGGGCACAGACAAGACAGGCCACATGCCCAGAGCAGAGGTCTATGCAGGAAAACTAAAAATGAAAGCAACATACCAACCTCTACTCTCCATCCTTGGAGTGATTCACAACTCCTCTGGACATGGTACTGGGAGACAAGGTTTGGACAGCCCTTTTTGAGCAAAGAATTGGACCAGACAGACCCAGAGGTTCCCCTTCCAGCCTCAACCATTCTGTGATTTCTTTCAATACAGAGCTCTAGATAGCACTTGAAAAACAACCAAGCTGTCAATGGACAGTCAAGCTTGCTGTTTTCTAGGAAATATGGTGAGCCTGCAGTCCTCATGTCAGCACACATTTAGGATCCTGGGCAAAGTATTCCAGTAAGGGAAGCCACCAGAAACAGTCTGGACGCAGCTAGCTAGAGCCAACCAGGAGACAGGTGATGCCTCTCATCACTTTCCAGCCAGCTCCATGAGCCAACCCAACCCAGGCTCAGTACCTGTGGCCTCTTCAAGACAAGTTTGGAATCTACTTCCTATAGTACCTGGGTGTCAGACAGCACTGGGCTGAGGCCATGCAAACCAGGCCCAGCCTTTGAAGAGCTGCCCAGCTGTGCTCCCAGAGACCACTACTGTCCTCCCAGTAAGGCAAAAGGCAACACAGCATGCATAACCAAGAACAGCCACTCACTTGTGAGAACACACAATCTCAGATACTAGTTCTTTCACAGTCCACAGGAGGACTGCAGGTCTGAGGGTCTTTATTTCAGTTATCAGTGGCTAAAGGGATGAGTTACACACTGTGGCATCCATAGGCAGCAAATCAGTGTAGCAGTGTGGTACTCACTTTGGATTTAATGACAGGATGAGAGACTGAACAGCTGTGCTCAAGGTACCAAGGCAACTCCAAAGGCTAGCAGCGAAAACAAGATACTAAACCTGGAAAAGACCAATGAGCCCAACTAGGGCTTAGGGGAAAAAAATCACATTGACGCCAGGGAAAAAGAGTTCAAACATCAGCAAGTCAGAGCATCCTCAAAGGGGAATCAGTAACATGGGGATGGACAGAACCAGCAGGAGAGGGAGTCACTCAGGGTTAGTCATAACGACAGCTGGAGCAGATCAGAGCAATGCACTTCACTACATGGCCCTACCTTTTATGAGGTGTGTTAAATTAGTCTGTCTTCCCCCCTTCCCACCCATCCCCCAAGTCCAGCAGTTAAGTTCCAGCACTGTGCACAGATCCAGTTAGTGAGGGTGGTCCAGAGCCCCCTTCCTTTGTAACAGACCCGTGTAACTCATCAGGGGCTTGGGAAGTGTGAGCCACACAACGCACAAGAGGACAGGGACAGGTGGAAGCTTCAACTGCTCAGCATTGCTTTGTGCCCTGCTTATGCAGCAGTCCCAGACAAGGCTACTAAAGCTGTGTCTCTGGGTACACTGACCCTGCCCTTTGGAGGGCATCTGGCAGTGAGCCCCAACACTCCTCAGGCTGACCTGGACTCAGCTGGGATGAGAAAACGACGAGAGAGACACTGAAGTACTGTAAGGGCTTGAACTATTCCAGAGAGTTAATATGGCCTGTAGTTCCAGTAACTGGAGAAAACAGAGATCTGAAAAGCAAGAAGAAAAGCAGGTAAGTTCCTGTACCCTGAGACCATGAAGGGAAGAGCACATAATACATGCGGTCTGAGCTTCACAGCACTACACACTTCAGCAGTGCACTGCTGATGGGCAGGTTTGCTGCTGCTGTCACTGAAGTTACTTGGAGCACAAAGTTATTTGCTCAAGGTGGCAGCCAGGCCAGCTGCAGAGCTGGAACTGAGAACTGCTCTACTAGAATCTAGGTTGCTATCTCCATGCTCCCCCCTCCAGCATCCTGATGTTTCCTGTCATCCAGCTCATGACTGAGAACACAAAAGTACCTACTTGCTCCTTTCCATCCAGTCACTAGCTCAGCAGACATGTGCCACACCACTATACTTATGGCTGTCAGCTAGGCAGTACCAGCCAGCTCCCTGGCTCCAGAGCACTGACTCATCCCTTGTTTTCAGCAAGTTGTACAGAATAACATCACATCAGATCTAAGGTTCTCTCAAAATCCAGAGTCAAAAACAAAGCCCCTTCTCCAAGCCCATTACCTTGTCCTTCAGCTGTTGGCAAAGCTGCAGTGAAACTGTGAAGAAGACAAGGGCATCATTTAACCACGGGACAACACATTCCACTTTATGGACATGGCTGACTTCATAGCGCTGGCTGCCAAACTCACTGGAGGGGGGAAGAAGAGCACAGCTTCACACACAATGGCACAGAGCACAGCTTCACTGTCCTCCATTCCCACTCTCCATCAGGAGAGACTGGTGATTTCCACCACATTTAAATCAGCACCTGGCAAAGTTACAAGAATGCAAAGACTCAGTCCACCTTTGACCACATTTAGAGTTAAGCTGAAGTGTGAAGGTAGAAATTTCTTAACATTCCAGAGAGGCAGAGAGGCAGGAAATGACGATCGCAATGCCAATAACCGCATGCTCATTTTGGCTGAAAACTCTTATTCTAGGTAAACTCATGGCACTGTATGGACGGGCTGGATCCTAGAAATTCACATCTTTGGGCCTTTATGGAAAAGTCATTAAAGAGACAAAACAGAATATTCACAGGCACAGCAAGTGACTCAGTCCAGCTCCTCCACTTCACAGATGCTACAATGAAAACTGTACACAGCTCTTTGGATCTCACCCTCAGCACACACCTACACCTGTTATCCAGGTACACTACCCCTGTAGTGACTGTACTTACAACATGGCCCCAGGGTTGTGTAAAATGGACCCTCCAGCAGGCTTGAAGTTCTAGAGAAGGAAAAGTTCATTAGGATTTTGATGCAGAAAAAAAAACACTTAGAAGAAAGGCATTTCAGGTTTGCACTTGCAGTAGCCTGACATCTAGAAATGCCCACACTCTATTTGCCTGGATACTCCATCCATATGTAATCCATGTTTTTAGATTCCTTCCTGCTCCTTCATTAAAAATATCCTACACAGTGGTGGAGTTCAATTTAGCTCCAAATTTTAGCACTACAAAAATAAGATGAGAAGATCCAGAAGAAAATGTTTCAATTTTTAGGGAAATCTTCCTTATGGAAGGACTGCATTTCATAAAGTTTCAGAGTTTAATGATGTTTTTATATGTGTATTGGGTTTGAGTGGCCAGTTTTTGGTAGTGGAGAGGCTACAGGGGCGACTTCTGCGAGCAGCTGCCAGAAGTTTCCCCCATGTCCAGCAGAGTCAACTCCAGCTGGCTCCAGGATGGACCTGCCACTGTCCAAGAACAAGCCCATCAGAGATGGTAGTGACTCCTTGGGGAGGAAAAAAAAAAATCATTGTGCAGAGGGAAAATATGTGAGAGGAACAGCTCTGCAGACCCCCAGGGCAGTGCAGAAGGAGGGCAGGAAAACTGCTGCCCGTGGGATGGACTCACGCTGGAGAAGTCCATGGAGGACTGTCTCCCGTTGGAGGGACCCCACACTGCAGCAGGGGAAGGACTCTCTCCTTGAGCAGTGGCAGGAACAACATGTGATGAACATGTGATGAACCCCCATTCCCATCTCACTCCACTTCTGGAGGAAGGAGGGAGAGCCTGGAAAGGAGGGAGGGGTGGGGAAAAGGTGTTTTTAAGATTTGTCTTATTTGTCATTATCCTGCTCTGATCTTGTTGGTAATAAATTCAATTAATATCCTCAATTCAAGTCTGCTTTGCCTGTGACTGTATTTGATGAGTGATCTCTCACAGACCTTATGTCAACTCATGAACGCTCTGTTGTATTTTCTCTCCCCTGTCTGGTTGTAGAGGGGAGTGACAGAGCAGCTTTGGTGGGTCCTGACATCCAGCCAGGGTCAACCCACTACATCAAGCTGACCCATGCAACAGGTGAAGGAGAAAAGTATCCATCAAAACTCCATTCAAGAAACCCAAGATGTTACTTTGATGTAAACTGGATTAATATATTTATGCCCTCCCAGAATTATGCAAAATTATCAAACTATACTGTAAGTACTTAGTGGAAAACAGTTACTGGCTTTCTCCAGAGCACTGGTATGTTTTTCTGGGCTAAGTAGCCAAGTCCCAAATTAGAATTAGAGACAGTGCGTTGTGTGCAGCAGACCTGAATACAGACACTTAGCACCATTACTGTCATTTCTGCATTATCTTACGCCCATAACATTGTAGCAGGTAGCAGTGTGATCTCCTCGCAGTGGGATGCAGGGAGATGGAACTAAACAAGGTTCAGGAAATAGCCAACATTACCTTGGTTGTGCTGGGCTGTAGCATGTGGAGCTGGTACACAGTGAGGCACAGCTTGTTCAGGTTAATATAGAAATTCACAAGGATGTCTGGAGGCAGCGCAGGGGTGAACATTTTCTTTTGAGAAAATAAGTAGTTTCTTTGTCACTGAAAGGATGATCATTTCTAACGCTGGGAAATCACTCCCCTTTCCCAAGCCACAATACAATTACAATAGCAAGAGAGACATTAGGAGAGAAACAAAGACTGAGCAGCTGCAGGCAATGGTTGTTTCTCTCTCTGCCCTTGATCAAATGGTATGTGCATGTCACTGAAAAGACAGGATGGAGCAGTGTTCACAAGGGCAAATCATCCCTCAACAAGACTCCTGAGCAGAGAACAGAACTAACTCTCTGAGAACTAGAGTTCTCATGCCTAAGTCATCTGTGCTCCCACAGGTAGATACAGAGCAGCCAAAACCACTCAGGCTTTAGACTTGCTTCCTCCCTGCCTCAAGAGACACTTTAGAAACCCACTTCCACCAGGATGCTGCCCAATATCCAAACTGTTGCATGCTGCCAGACTTGTATGGAGATCTAGACCGCCATATACTTACTGTGAGGCCGCTAGAGGCAATTTCTGGTAGTGTCAGGGTAGCTGGAGTGGTCAGCCGATTTCGGGCTCTGGAGAGCTGCAACATCACAGCATCCATAAGCTACAAGATAACATACAGAACACTGCTGAGTGTGATCCCCAGACAGCTCTGAATAGCATGCTGCAAAACCCTACAACAGCCTTCTGCAAGTGTTACAACAACCACAACCACCCCCCCTCACCCTTCCAGGAATTCAGGGATGTATTGGGAAGCGGCGGCTGCCACAGAAATGCTGTTTAACTTACCACAAGACGGGCCAGGAGCGTTCAGTACCAGGGACTGACAAGAAAACAACTACTCATTACAAGAATACCAAGAGAACATGAGCTCAATTACTGATGCCACAGAAGCATCAACAAACTCATCATCAGCTCTTCAGAGGAGCAGGCATTAAGGAAAAACAACATGCTGCTTTCTTGTTCTCCCCATTCTCACATCACAGGTGCTGAATGGGCTCCCCATCCATAACCAGCTATGACCAAGGGAACTAGAGAGTGAGGCCAACCCTGCCACAAACCACAGTTCAAAGGCTCTATTCAGGCAGACCTTCTTTTCCAGAAAAAAAGTGGGAAGCAACATAGGTCAATAATAGAGCTCATGACTGCTAAGATGAAGGCATTTTATATTATGACTAATTCCTCTCCTACTTCCACCTGAAATTAAAAAGGAAATAGTTTTATTACCTAAACTTCTTCCTGTGAGGCCTTGTCCATGTGGAAACTAAAAAGGTTTGGTTTTCTTATGTTTGATGTTGTGATGGATTGCAACGAGCAAGCTGAAACTCTGATGCCTTCAGAGAGCATTTTCAAGCAGAGGGTTGGGCTTCACTGCCATGCAGCAGCTGCTCTATCAGATCCCAGCAGCTATTACTGGCAAGTGAAAAGTCACTTCCAAATCATCAGTAAATCACAAGTACTGTCATCTTCTCTTTGCTGATGGCTGTCTCACTGCTGCTCTCACCAGCAGCACTGATGAACAGAGAAATGTAGCCACATCATCCACAGAAGATCAAGGAAGATCCTCTCAGATTATCACTGGTGTGCAACAGGGCACCAACTGCTCAGATTACTGATGCCAAACTGGTACAGATTCACATCAAATACAAGGTCACATGGACACTCCTTGACACAGGTACGACTGCAAAGTCCATTTCCACTGAGAGACTCAGACAGCAATGTGCATTAACTGTGTTTAAAACAACAAATTGAGGGAAGAAAAATGCATGTTCCTACCCAAGCAGCAAGGGCTTGCTCCTCACCTTGAGCACCTCTGAGCCTGTTTTGAACTGGTAGTTCACATCGCGGTTCATAAGCAGGTAAATAGCTTGGTTCACATGGTTTCTGGCATCCTGGATCTGCAAAGGTACAAGGGCAATCCTATGAAAAAACATTCTTTAATATATGCTGGGAAGTAGAGGTGTTCTCCATTATCTCATTGGCCTTCAGAAAATGGTGTCTTCTCACATGCTAATGCCACATATGAATGCCAGACACTCTCTAACACAAACCTACCACTGCTGCCCAGATGCATTACTGGGTTCTTCTCTCAAGGACTGGAGACGCAAAACAGTCTGACAGCAACAATCTGGATTGTCAACAGAAATATTACTGCTGCCGTGAAGGAACAGTGACATCAGCCACTCTTCCTGGGACCACTCTGACCATGACTGCTAAGGTAGGAATTCTCACTGCTGATGGAATACAGCAGTCATCTCAAGCACCACTGAACAATGATTTCTTCTTTAGCTAAAACCAACCAATCAAAGCTTAAACCAATGGCATTGATTACATTGATGATTTCTAATACAGTCTCTGGTAGCATCCCAGAGTCCTTCTAAACTAAAATTGTTGGGATTGAGAGTTATGTCCAGCATCAAGAAGCTGTGCCATTGTGCAGGACTGGAACAGACTCGGGACACAGCTGGCTCAAGTTCCTCTCAAGCAAGAGGAACACAATTATCAAAGCAAGGTTGATAGGTGTATCCCAGTGCTTTCATGGAGGAAGGACAAACCAGAGGAAGACAATGGGCCTGGGAGAAAGTGACTGGTGTTCAGTTTCAGGCAGCAGCTGGAAAATTGGAAAAAGAAAAAAAGAATGAGGAGTAAATTAGAGGGTGCAATAAATGGAAGTGAGAAGCCCAAAAGCTTGTATGAGAAATGCCTGCTGGGAGACAGACAATACAGCTTGGGGTATTTGTAGTTTGATATATCTACACTGCCCTCCCTGGCATAGATCTGAACACCAGCTCCTTTTCATGCAGTGCTCAGGGATCACAGAACAGCCCTGCTCTTAGAAAGCACAGGTACGGGAAGAGAGAGATGGTAAGTCCACTGTCAGACTGCAGAGAGACTTTGCAGGTACTTAGGCATCTCCAAACATCACTCCCTTCAGCCTTTACACCTCCCAGATGTTTCTGAGCAAGTTAAATAGTTCCTAGCAGCATTACCCAACCAAGCAATGCCAATCCTCCTGCTATAATGATTTGCCTCATTCATATTCCCCCTTCATTTTGCTCTGCTTTCTAATCAAGTTCCTCAAAATTTGTGTGCCTGCACTTGTGTTCCTCAAACACATGCCTATACTATGATTTCTAACCAATGACTTCACTTTGCACAGAGAAACAAAAGCCCAGCTGGCACCACTCACTAAGGGAAGATACGATCTTTGAGATGCTCAATTCTAATTCAGAGAGGCCAAAGATCACCACATAACCACTTTAAATGCTTTTGCACACAGTCCTTGAGGCACTCACGTTCCACATCTGAACAACATTACAACACAAAATGCTAGCAAGTAAATAAAGGAAGGTATTTTCCAGAAAAGCCAGTAGAAGCCTATCAACCAGGCAGCAGTACAAAACAGCCACAAAACAGGATGCACTGCTGAGTGCTGTCAGAAAAACTTCCTTGCCTTGTTGCAAAGCATAAACAAACTGAGTTGAGTTTGGCATTAAATTTCAAGTACATAATTTTCTAGATTTCTACGAAATTATCAAGTAGAGCTTTCCCTCTGCTGCTAAAGCAGCTGTTGGGAATGGCACTCAATGCCAAATGCACTCATCACCTAAGAAAAATCTGAGCCATGGCAAAGGGAAGCACAAGGAATACATCTTCCTCCAACTTACTCAGCTTTGACAAAGTAACTGTAGTAAACCACCTCCTCAAAATCAGGCATTAGTTCAGGTCCTGAAATCAGGTATCTCCCAGTAAAATGGCAGGAAAGAGGTTCGGGTTCTGGATAGCTGCGTTCTTTTAACTCCTTACCTGAGGGAACTCAGACATGCTACAGGAGCTCAAGGATGTCCTCAGTGTAAACAAATGTACCCATAAGAGAATGAGAGCACACTGCTTGAAGCCTCTGAAGCTGCTCTTTGCCCTGCTAGCCTGGGTGTCACAGGCAGACACAAGACAGTCCTGCACAGGCACCTTGGGCACTCCTTTAAAGGATCATGACTGCTATGCAGCCAGCCTCCAGATTGCTGGTGCGTTAGGAATGAGCAGAACCCACCTCTTCCACCCAGCACTGAAACTGAATTTAACTGCACCTGCTTCCTCCCTGAGCTTCTACCACTGGAGCTCATGTAAATGGACATAAACAGTTTCTCTCAAAGGACTACAACGACTGCTCAGAGGGCACAGACACTACAGACGGGTGGATATCTAAAGCCAACAGTACCTGCTGCAATTTCCACTGTTTGTCTTCCCGGAATGCAAAGTGAAGGAGCTGATTGTTCCTGGGCATTTTCAGATTAACATCCTTGAAGAAAGAAATAAACAAGTGAGAGCAAGAAATGCCTGCATGCAAAACATGGGGGCTGCAAGTCCCACCCCACTCTTACAGACCACCCTGGCAAGCTCCATTCCACAGTCCTGGCACAGTCAGAACCTCAGTGCTCCCCTAAGGTGATGTTAATACAAAGGATAGGTTTAAAGGCATTGAGTGAATCAGGATCCAGGCAGGACACATGACCTCAACTCAGAAAGTCTCCAAGGAAATCTGATACCACACAACAAAGGTGGTAAAGGCAAGGAATCCCCATGGAAGTTGACTCCAGCACTCACCACAGTGTGGGGGTGGTGGGAGGGGATGTCAGATGCTGGATCTTGACAAATTGCAACAGTTGCTGAAACATCTAGTATTTAAGGCCTATTAGGGAAGACTGACAAAGAACACTGATCACTGGTAACACACAACCAGGGTGACCTCCCCCCTGAGGTGATCAAAGGGTAATAAGGATGACACCCATCCCTTGTAGTACAAAGCAAGAAGCATGGAAAGTACTCACAGCTTGACACAGGGCATCTCCCTGCAGTGTCAACACACCTTTCACCTGGTCTGTGCTGGAATGAGAGGAAAGATCTGGGCAACACCAGTCACAAGAGGCATCTACTGACTGCCAACTTGACCCTGCCCCTCCCAGTCCTGTGTAACCAGCCCAGTTCTTCCTGCATGGAGTCTGAACGCTATTCCTGCCCAGTACCTGAACACTACACACACTTTCAAAGTCCCCAGCTCTTGGCCTGTGGCAAGCTGCTGTCAGATTCTTTACTGGCCACCTGACCCGAAGTGCCCAGCCTAAAACATTACCTTCATTTCCAATCCTATACTTATTCCATGAATCACCTGTCAGCAGTTCGGTTGCTGTTACAAACAGCTCCAGGCACAAGATAATAAATGAATTACTGACATTGGAGGGTTAGGTGGTTAATACAAGAGTTGAAAGTTACAAATCACACCTCATCCCAAGGGAAAAAACCTAATATAAATAAAACCTAAATAAATAAAACCCCACAACCCTAAATAAATAAAAAACCCACACCCCAAACCCTTTGAAAGATCCTGCAAGATGACTCACATCTACAACAAAGAGTGAGGGGAGAAGACTGAAGCACCTGGGCCTTTAGGAACTCAGTTTGCCCACACTTTGCACTTTACTATATTAGACAGAGACTCTTTAGATCAACACTTTGCAAGATTCACCTTACAACAACAAATGAAAACTAAAAATTAAGTTTAATATTTTAAGATCTGGAGAAGACAACTTTCAAACCCGGTACAGAATTACTGCATCACCCCTTGCAATGCTCACTGTGCCATTCCTAAGGACTTGTTTTGTGACAAGCTCATGACCTCTGCCAGAGCAGCTACTGAGACCAAAGGCTACAGTGAAGATCCAAAACCGGACATCAATTTCAGAAGAACTGCATGTCTGCATCACCTTCTGCACAAGCATCAGTTTGCTCTGTGTGAAGGAGATTTACTATTACTATCTTAGGGAGATTGGAACAAAGGTTAAGATTTGTCCACACAGTCAAAAACTGAGTCAAGAGCAGAATTCGGGTCTTGTAACTGCAACTCCCTGTGTCCAGAATCAGAAAAATGCCCTTTGGCAAACTGCCCACAGCAGCACACTGAGGCAAGGCACCAGCATGAGGCCAGGAATCAGTGTTACCAGGCGTCAGCAGGAAACAGCACAAGGCTGGCTCAGGCAGTCTTGAAACAGAGCTACCAACCTTACCTTCACCTGCCAGGAGAGTTCGTTTGTTTGGTTTCCTTAAAGCAAAAACCCCACTACTCCAGGGTGCTACAGAGTCCTTTACCACGGATGCTCCTGGACCTGTACCTGTTTGCTGTAGAGGGAAGTGACCAACTGACCACCACCACTTACCCTGATGTGTTCAGTACGAAACTCTCCTGCCTGACAGCTGCTCCCGAGCCACTGGAGGGCAAAGCGAAGCGGTGGGAGGCCTCCTGCCCGAGAGAGGACAAAGTGAGTGCAGGAGCCAGGAACAAAGATAATGTAGACACCAGCAAGTGGCCAAACATGGAGCGCTCACCTCTGCCAGCCTCCTGAAGCCCACCAAGCAGAGCCCCTGGATTTCATCCTACTGCAGGACCAGCACAGTCTAGAAGGCTCAGTGTGTGCAACCCATAGCAAAAGACATTTAGAAATCCCACACTCTGGAGCTGGGCAGTGCCAGAGGGGTCCCCAAGCTGCCCACAGAAGGAGCAGCACCTCTCACAGCCCAGCCTCGCGTGCCTTCAGCCACCATGAAGCTGCCCCTTATCACAGCTGAGGGAAGTCTGGAGTGAAAATCAGCCCCCCAGTTGGTTATACTGGCTGGTGACAAGTGCTTTAATCTCTGTCCTGTAATCACACTTCACCCTTAAAACTATGACAAATTCTTCAAAACAGGTATAACATATAAAGGTACTGCAGGCTTTTGTCACCTGCTACTGACTCACTCTTATCTCCTCCGGCACCTGCCCCTCACCTCCACGTTTTTGGCCCAGCTCTTCCATCACTCACTAACCCCCTAAAACCTCAGAGTGTGAAGGAGTTGGGCCTGTTGAACACTGACCCAGCAGGCACACAGTGCCCTCTCAATGCACACAGTCCTGCTTGGTCAGTTCCCCTCTGGCTGCTTGGAAAGCGCCAAACCTGCAGCTCATGCTCAGGCTGGAGAAAGGTGCTGCCCACCTGGTTCAGCTGAGCACACCAGGCCTCTGAAAGGGGCAGGCACCAGCAGAGGAGTGAGCACGTGGAGGGCAGGATGGTTTTGAATGAGTGCACACTACTAATCACTGCCCAAGTAGCAACTGTCAGCTAAAGGCCGTCATGCTCATTTCCACCACCACATGACGGAGTTACAGAGGCAGATTCAGAAAGGAGCAATCTTGGGGAAATCAGCTTTATTGAGAGTCCTCAAAACCAGAGGGCAATTAAGCACTAGGGACAGCACTGGACATGGGTGCTGGACACTTCCATACATCCTTTACTACAAATTTTTTCCTCCAGGGGAAACCTACGACCATTCCTCCATATGGGAGGGCAAACAAACCTATAACACAAAATGCAGACAAAATTAACAAAACTGAACCTCACCTTCAAAATATCCTGCAGCTGCCTCAAAACAGCATGGACCTCTTCTTGTAAAAGCCATTTAAACTCTTCTTCCTACATCATTAGAAGTCAAACAGTGGAAGTAAATATTTCAGATACATGTGAAAATTATTTAAATTCCAAGTGTGGTGCTGTTTCTGTGCTGTTTAAATTCAAGGAGGAGAAGAAAAAGATTTCTTCCTGGTTTGTTTGAACACCTCAGTCTCCATATCTCCACTTCTCTAGTCCAATGAACTGTCCTTGTTCTTGTCCTGACTTTGTTAAACAAAGCAGGATTCATACAAATCACTGTACCAATAATCCCAGAATTATGAAAGAATGGGCAGCACAGGATGTGAATTTTAGAGCAAAGTACAAATCCTGCTGCTTCAAAATCTGGGGCATCTTTTTAAGATGCTGGGATGGGCTGACCTGGTTGCCAGACACCAACCCAACTTCCCCCACTGCCTCTCTTGAACAGGCTGGAGGAGGAAATAAGTTTGTGGGAAGGGGTAAAACCAGGGAGATCCATTTCCAATTCCTGGCACAGGTAAAACTGAGCCAATTTGGAGGCATATTTGTCGCCAATCAGATGGGGAGAAACAAAGATAAAAACCAAAACGCCCTCTTCTCCCTCTCAGCATTTCCCCAAGCAACAGCAGCCTAAAAGCACAGCAAGCTGAATTGAAAAGGGGGTGGGGGTGACACAGGCTAGGCGCTCCCAGTCACTGGGGCAAATTCAGTAACCAACAAGTTTGGATCTGATGACTCATTGCCTCGGGCCTCCATTAGTTGCTGCCACAGAGAAGGCTGTATTAAAGCAGACCCTCAAAGCACAGCTAACAGTCTGTTAAACCATGAGACCTCATGCAGATCATCAGAGAAATGGGGACAAAAGGAAGCAGACTACTACTTGTTACCTTGTAAGAAAGGAGAAATTTTCCATGTGGAAAGTTTAGGAAGAGAGTGATCTGAGCAGGCTGCCCACAGAAAAATGGGCAAGGTGTGGTCAACTCAGAACTTTAAGCTTGTGGTTTCCCTGGTAGACAGTTCCCGTTCACCATGAAACACACAAAATAACCACCCATTGATGTGTCAGCACTTCACACAAGAGTTTTCCCAACAACCAGTAGGAGAAGGCCAAGTTTGTTTCAGCAAACATTCACCCAAAGCCAGCACACACAACAAAGCCAGGCAGGATTTCCTGTCATCCTTCAAAGAAGTTTGGGTGCAGGACCACTGACTTCCACCATTTAATCCTGGTCCGGGTTTCTGGGAATCATATCGATCATAGAATCAGACTGTCCTGAGCTGGAAGGGACCCATCAAGTCCAAGTGCGGATCCTGCCCAGGACACCCCACCAATCCCACCACATCTCTGACAGCACCGTCCAAACGCTTCTTGGACTCTGTCAGCCCTGAGGCTGTGACCACTGCTCTGGGGGAGCCTGTTCCAGTGCCTGACCACTCTTAGGGTGAAGATTCTTTTTCAAATATCCAGCCAAAACCTCCCCTGACAGCTCCGAGCCATTCCCGGGTACTGTCACCATTCAACCACAAAGATGAATCTCCCTGCTCTTTCTGTAATGCTCACTCTCCTCCAGATTCCCAAAGGAACAGTGATCCCATGGGTGCCGCAGACTCCTTCAGTGCCTCCACCACCCACCAGCACTATGCAGGTGTTTCTACTCCAGGTACCCACTGGTGTTTTTTTCTCCTCTAGTCACGGCAAGAAATCTCCCCCTCCACACTAATTTCAGACTGAGTCAAGTTCATGCACCACATCTGTGCACTACACAGCTGTATTTTTAGGGAATGCTACTCATAACTTTCCAAACTACATTAATGTGAGAAAACCCTGTTTTCCCCCGTGGCTTTCCACCCAGCCCAATGGATCTCCGAATCCCCAGAGCGGAGGTCTCGCTCCTCCTCGCAGCCGCTGTCCCGGGGAAGCCACAGTGGCGGCTGCCCTGCTGCACCAGGTCCCCCGGGGGCTCTGGCCCTGCGTGGGGCCTGTCACCAAGGGCACGGGGCACGCTGGGCAGCAGGGCGGCTTCGCTCGGGGCACACCGGCACGGAGACCCGGGCGCCACCGCCGGGGGACGCCGAAGGAGGCCCGAAAGCCTGTCCCGGCCCCACGGCCGGAACGCGGGCAGCGCCTGCAGCCGGGGCAGCTGCCCCGCGGCCGGGACTGGGCGGTCCCCGCACAGCGCTGGGCCCGGGCCGGTGCGCGGGAGCAAGGGATGGCCTTTCCACCCCATACCGTGGCTCCCCGCCCGAGCAGCCAGAGCGGGCTTGCGGGGGTCCGGCAGGGCTGCCGTGCCCGGGGCCGCTCGCCCCGGCCCCGTGAAGCGCCCGCCCGACTCACCAGCACCGCTCGCTCCGCCGCGCTCGCCATGGCCGCCGCCATACCGCCGCGCGCACCGCCCCCACGGCCGCGGCTCCGCATCGGCTGCCGCCATTGGCTGCGACACCTCCGTGCCGCGCCCTCATTGGCTGACGGCAAGACCCGGTAGAGCCTGATTGGGCAGCACCGCCTCCCTCCGATACCGGGGCTGCGCTGGACCTGCCATGGCCTCGCACGGCAATGGCCCCTCCCGGCCCCGCCCACGGCGGCTCGCGGCAATGGCCTCTCACAGCCCCGGCCGCGGCAGAACGCGGGGATCACACCGAGCTACCCGCAAGAATCCTCAGGAATGCGTGAAAACATGGAAGTCTCATGGCCTCTTCTCAAAACAAATACATTTATGGTGTCAGTGAGGTCGGCGGGTTCGAGCGGGAGCGAGGGGGCCACGCACACAGAGCCTTCTCGCATCAGCTCCCCTGAGGCCGCGGGTGCAAATCATGCTTCATTCCCGAAGCAGAGAAAGCTTCCGACAGCGCTAGTTCCTGCTACAAGCACAGCTCTCGACTTCCCGTCACTTTCTGCATTGCTGCTAGTGGCAGTGCTCACAGAGAGTGGTTCCCTGGGCACCTGTAACTCCTGTACCTGGAGCCCACTGGCGTGAGCACCATCCCATCCTGCCTCGGGAGGAAGTGATGCAGCTGTCCACCTGCAAAAGCTGCCCGATTATCCACAAGCAGTATTCCAGAGCTTGTAAAGACTTCAGTTGAAGGATCATGTCGTGGAATGCCCAACCCACTGCTGAGTTAGTGTTCATAGAATCATGGAATGGTTGGGGTTGAGGGACCTTAACGCTAATCTTGTTCCACGCCCCTGCCATGGACAGGGAAGCTTCCACTGGACCAGGCTGATCATAAGACTTGGTGTTCAAAAAACCCCAAATGCCAGAAGAATGGATACCCCAGCCCGTCACTTACACCAGATGTCATCAACACCAGAATGTTAAAACTAAGCATCCTCCTCTCATGCCAGCTGCATGCAGCCCTCTGCACAGAGGCTGGAATTAATCCAAACTCGTCCTCTGCAATGCCTCAGTGACAGTTCCAGATTTCAGCAGTGACCAAAGTGCTCTCAGAAACACTGTGGGTTTTCAGCAGCTCTGAGTTTCTAATATTCTGTGGAACGCACATATTTCCTTAATGCCCCAAGACAACTCTGACAGGCTTTAGAAAGTGTCACAAGAACATTGCGTTACCAAGAAAGGTTTTATTCTTTTTGCCAGTAGCTTTGTTAATTGCACAAAAAAAAAAAATCTTTGTTTTGCCATTTAAACATTTTCCACACATCCTATTCTGAATGACAAACGTTAATTAAAAACAAGGCAAGAAAATAAATTCACAACCTTAATGAACTATAGGATCTATCATAGAGGGAAAAGGAAGTTGCTTTTCTTACAAGCTTTTCACAAGTGTCACATTTTCTGTTTAAAAAGGAGGGAGTCAAAAGAAAGCAAACTGCTAAAACAAATCCTCATAAAAAGAAATTTTACAGAATTGTCAACAATATTAAGACAACATTGACTAGCCCGTTTTATTAGAGCATCTCTCAATCCACTGCTTCCCCCACTCCCCTCCCCCGAATCTCAGGCCTAGGAAACAGATTGAGATCCATGTTCAGAGGCTACAGACATAAATACAAGAATCCGACTGAGATTGACAGCAATCTCAACCAGCATCTGGAACAGTCCGGTTTTCCCCATTTCCATCCCTCCTCCTCACTTCACAGCCACGTCAGAGCTCCTGGTCTCCTTCTGCTCCTCCCTGGCACACTTGTGACTGTACAGCTGACCAGGCAGCACCACAGCCACTCTACAGCCACTCTCACTGGACATCAGCCCAAAGCTGCAGTCAGACTTTCCCAGGATAAATTACAGTGCTGAATTAGTCCGTACCCACCACTCCCACAGAAATAACCATCTCCATTCTGGGAATTACAGTATTTCTGGAAAAGAAACCCTGCAGTAGTGAGTTGCCTAGGGACCAGTTCTTGGAATTCCCTATGAAATACCTGTCACAAGACTTGAGAGCTCCTTTGGCATTCTCCCTGTATCCAGAGGCACCACAAAGTAACAGAGAGGGAGATCCTCCACTACACCTTTGCTCAGGCCCATTCACCTTCACTCTGGCCCAAAAGGGAAGGGACAGGTAGGGGATGCTGCTGCACTGGCTCGGCACAGTTCACTCTCAATTGCACCTGAGACAGTGCCTCCCTCTTCCTCCCCAAAATTTTCCACTATAAAATCTGTAGTCTTATCTCCTACCTGCAAACCCATGATTTCCCCCCAGATGCCCTCAATGCATAATCTGTTTGCGTGATTTCCTTACTCTGGCATGTTTAACCAAGGACTTCAGGTGCTAAACAGCGGAGCTGTGGATAGGGAAGTGCAGTGTGTCAAAGCAGGTCAATGACTGGTTATCCTGGGCACGTTTCTGTGCCTTTTAATATGGATACCCACATGGAGGATGGCAGTGGCACTGCCAAAGGAACACGGATGTACAACTAGCATCGCTCACACACACTGACCAACAGGTAGTGAGGTCTGACAGCTCTGTTGCCAGGTGTTCACCAGAGGACAGAAGTAATGCAGAACACAGCATTAGCCCGAAAAGAACAGAGATCACAGGAAGTTAAACACTCAAAGTAACATTTACAGAATGAGGCATTAGATGTTGTGATTCAAAATGAGTGACACTGTTTCTTAACAAGGTGCCCCTGAACCATACACATACGCTGCACAAAGCAAGATTGGTAGGAAATTCTAACCCAGGGAAAATTTCCTTACATAGCCATTAAGTTCCTAGGGGAAAAAAAAAAAAAAGGTGGGAGGGGCAGACCTTTGAGATTTAAAGGAACTCGGCCTAATTTGAATCTGTTCTTTTTCCTTTCAGAATCCCAGCCCAAGGAAGAAAGAAGACTGTGCCACTGAGAAGTGATTTTGGCCAAAGTTTCTCACTTGGCATATTTCTAACTCTAGAATCTAAAATCCAAGAACACTCCTAAAAGGCTGAGAATTTAAAAAACAAACAAACAAACCCCCCACCCCCATACTGTGCATTTTGAGAGACAGGATCCTTTGGGCTGTGGGTTGCTCTGCTATCAACACTGAGAGCATCTCTGATCTCTAGCCTTGGCATCTGTGCAGTTCATGCCACCCATTTCTAAACTAAAGCTCAGCAGTGGTCTTTCCCTCCCCCATTTTAGTTACTGTTCTTTCTAGAAGTTGGTATTTGTCCACAAGCAAAGTCACAATTTCAGGGAAAAGGCTCATGCTGTGCTACTTTGTACCCAGAGCAGGAACACTAAGAACATGTATGGAAAATCTGACACGTGTAAAGATCACTACTCAGTACACAAAAGTTTCCCTATGAGGTAGGTAATCATCACCCACCTTTACAGATGGGCAAACCGGCTGAGAGATGTAACAACCATGCAAAGGCCAGAGACCGTGGAAAGGAGCTCAGGATTCTTAACCTCTTGGATCATTCTTCTTGCCCCTTTCAGACTCATCACTCCGCTTATGACAGTGCTATAATCCAAGACACCTTTGTAATTATCGACCACACGGGTTAGAAAAAAAAAGCAAGAAGTACCAGAACATAAGCTAAGGCCAGGAGCAAGTAAAATATCTAGCCCAATTTTAGGCTCTGTGCTTCTCCTGCAGTTTTCTATGCAAACATGTTGCTCTCCAATCTATCTTGGCTGGGCTGTGATTAGCCTTTTAGGAGGCTCATTAACACTGGCATTCTCCCATTTTCAGTACAGTTTGTGTTCCCTAAGCTATAGCTGTCTGTACCGGGGAAGACACGGATTCAATGTGTTGTCTAACAGTACAGGAATTCCTTCATCAAGGTGCTGGGGAAGTGGAAGTTTAAGAACAGAATCATGACAGTGTCACATGCAACCTCCATTAGCATCTGGAACTGCCCTTCTCCTCCATGGGAGGTGCTTTGTTCTCTAACAGTGCCAATTAACAGTGCCAATCACCTTACTTGGGACCAAGGACTTGAGTGATTCACAGGCAGATGGGATGTTTGTCATCTGTCCCCTTGATGCAGAGAGTCCAACACACACATTATTTCACAGCAAAGGAGAAAAGGGGTTATTAGAAACAGCATCTTGGACAAGCAAAAAAAGAGGAAAATAAAAGCAGCCAAGCAGCAGGTTTCTGGCCAAGTTGCCTCAGAGCTTCTGAACAATCGCTGCTGTTCTGTCCCATGACTGTCAGTGCATGGCATGGACTTTTCTAATTAGACTGCAACAATCCAAGCCCCCTCCTCCCCCCATCCTGCCACAGGGGAAGGCTTACTGCAGCAGCTGCCTTGGTGGCAGGTCTCAAAGTCTGTGTATAAAAGGAAATGGAAAGACAGAGATGGACTGGTCCAGAGTTAAAACCCAGTATCATAATAATATTAATCAATAATCATTGTATGAACAGTAAGAAGGGTGCAGCCTAATGGATGTAGGCCCTGTACACTGCAGACATGTCGTTGTCGGATTGGTCCAATGCTTTTGCTCGTTTATAGACCTAGAGAACAGAAATCAGAAAAGGATCAGAGCCTGCACTTGTGTGAAGTGAAGCCTTTCACCAGCAGAAAAATGCCCTTGTTGGCCACTGCAATCAGAGAACTGCACAGTATGTCAAGTAACCAGAGCAGTGCAGATCAGAATGATTCTGATCTGCAGGTCTTGTTGAGGCCATCTGTGTTTCCTGATGTGACATTCTAAGGGCTTCCACAATCAAAACAAATCCAATGTAACCCTAGTCAAAATATATTTCAACCACTGTTTCCTTGTCTTAGAGATTAGGTAATTCTTGGATTAGACCTCTTGTTGACAAATTGCTCTGCTGAATAGATGAAGAACACACATCTGAACACTGGACAACTCTTACCTCGTTGGCAGCAGCTGCCATGGGAGTTGGGTGGTTGACAGAATCGCCTAGTGCAATAGCTAATCTAAGATCCTTCTGTATGTATTTCAGGTAGAAATCAGGTTTAAAGTTTCCTTG